AGTCTATATATATATATATATATATATATATATATAAAATCATATTATCTAAAACCCTTTTAACATTTCGGCAGGTTATCAAAACGCAATATTCAGAACTTATTTAGACATTCTAGGACAAAACATTCAACTCTCTGAAAAATTTAAAAACATTCAACTTTCTAGGATATATCTTTTAAAAAAACAAAGGTGTTAACAAATTTGTGTGTTGCACCTTAATTTGATTGTTTGGCCCTTACCCTTATATAAACTTCTTACAAAATGAAATAACCAAATACTCTAAGCATTTCAGGATTAATTTTGTTAATTTATTGTTTTAATTATTTCTTGTATTATTTTTAAGGTGCATGAAAATAAGGACACATGCTCTACGACGAATACTCTGATGTGCTCTCGACCACATCACTTTACTGGTGAAGTATATCATTTTTTATGTGATCAAGACCATGTATTTTGTTTAAGCCATCATGAATAACTTAAATTTTTGATATATCATTTATTTAATAAATAATCTTTAAAAAACACAACTATTTAGCAAAGGGTACGGTTTGTATAGAGCCTAGGCTTTATACAATCAAATTAGTGCCTACCTTGAAATAGTGTTGAAAAATGTAGTTTCAATACTGGAATCCTTTGTGATAGTCTTAAAATATATTTCCATATGTATTTATAAATTTTAAAGCTTCAAAAATAGTGTAGATCGAGCTAATATATGAAAACTTGAAAATCTTTAAAATTGACAGTCAAAATATGCATTACAAAATATATTATTTCCAAAACTTGAAATCCATTTTTTTCTCATGTCCATGCATCTTGATGTCAAGATGGTCAATTTGAGAATATTTTGAGCATCAAAACAACATTCTCTAGTGAAATTTTTGAAGTAGGCTCTAATTTGAGCCTTGGCTCTAAATAAACTTTTCCCTTTAGGAAATATCATTATTTCATCCATGATGGCTCGTATGAACAGCTAAAACTGACTACTTATAGATATCAAAGTTTACAAAATTCGTGTTTAAACTAGACACGGTTCTCCATAATCCCCATAGCCCCAATACTTTTGATGGCCAAATATTTAAAATTGCAAATGATAAAAAAGAAAAGAAAAATAGTTTGGTAGGGATGCAACTCAAAAGCCTCACCTCATAACTCATAACAAATTGCAATTCAAGCATTGGAAAGCTTTACCTTGATTATCTCGGCTTGAACATTATGATTGTAAAAAAACATTAGCATTAAAATAATGTATAGACATTTCACTTTAAAATAAGTGTTCATAGATCCGCAAGATTTATACATCTTTTGAGTTTCAAATTTATTATTAGTGTTGGAAATTGATTTTAGAGCCGTCGTGAAGATTTATGTTACCAAAATTGCTTTCCATAAGAAGATTTGAGGTGAGGCTTTATTTTGTTTTCATAAAGCCTAAGCCCAATAGAAATTTCATTTTTTTTAAAAAAAACTAAAAATTATGAAGTCCAAAGTCTGAGTGAAAATTCCCCATTTTGATTTGGCCACGGATAGCATGTAGCCAAGCACACGCATGTATAAATGCGGGCTTGGCAATAAATATATTTTTTAAATATAATTCGATTATGATTTTGTAGGGAATATATGGAGATTATGGATATGAAAATATAAATAAATTTCGAAAACTAGAAATAATAATTATATTAAAAAATATTTGGACCGTTAGTTACAATTGTTTAGATGGACCATCAATTTGCATCTATCTTTAAGATGGATGCTTTATACTTTTGGACCACATATTGTACCAATGTAGCTCGCATGAAACATGATGGGAAAAATTTATAAAGCCGAGGTCCTAAACGATCAAATTTGAGCCTACCTCAAAAATTTCAATAAAAGAGGTTTTGATGCCCAAATATCTTCAAATTGATCATGTTGACATCAAGATGTATGGACATGAGAAAAAAATGGATTTCAAGTTTTGAAAATAGTACATTTTATAACACATTTTTGGATTGTCAATTTTCAAGTTTTCATAGATATGTCAATCTACAATATTTTTTAAGCTTTAAACTTTATAAATAAATATTTTAAGTTTGTTCTAAACTTTATAAATAAATATTTTAAGTTTGCTTTAAATTTTATAAATAAATATTTTAAGTTTTCATAGATCTGTCAATTTACATTATTTTTTAAACTTTAAACTTTATAAATAAATATAAAAATATATTTTAAAACTATCACAAAGATTTTATGCATTAAAACCACATTTCTCATACACTATTTGAAGGTAGGCGCTAATTAGGCGCTAATTTGATTGTTTAGAGCCAGGCTCCATACAAACCGCACCCTTTAGCGATAGGGCTATTTCCGTCGTGCCCTTATATCCCGACCTTTTTCTCTTATTAATCGAAGGGTTCGTGCTTTTATTCACCACTTTTAAAACCTTTGATCGTGTTCAGGGGAACCCTTCGCTTCACTAGTCGATAATGGTGTAAAGAGTCTCTCTCTTTCCGCGGAGGCTTTGGAGATTTTTCTTCTCTTTCCACTACTCTCTCAATCTGGGAATTTGCAGATTTTTTACATGCTAGCATTCTCTTTCTAGAGTTCAAGATGTCGGGCGGTTTTTTTCGAGTAAGGATTCATGGCCGTTTCGCCCCATTTTCTATGCACTGATTATTTGCAAATGAATGTTCCTTAGAATGTTGCTTAGCCTTTGATTCGTGTACACTATCTCTGCTATTCTTAATTTTATGCTCTGGATCTTCGATTTTCTGGATTTTAGGGCACATCTGCTGATCAAGATACTCGGTTCTCTAACAAAGCCGCCAAGCTTTTGAAGTCTCAAAAGTTTGCATCAGAGTTGGATCACCTGGTATTTTATTATATTCTTTTATGTTTTCTGATCAGTTTGTAGTTTTTCCAATTTTCATTTATGTAGTTTGAATCTGATGAATATAAACCCTAGATTATACTTCTTCGTTTGTAGTTTGTAGTTTGAACTATGAATTTTTGTGCTTGTCCTATATACATATATATATTTGATTGGTAGCTTTGAATCCTAGTAACTTTATTTTGCATTTTTGTGAAAGGAATTTGATGGATGTAAAACCCTCGATGTTTGCTTCATTTTTGGGTGATTTATGGAGTTTATTCTTTTTATGCTTTATGGTGTGTTTTAGGTTGACATAAGTAAGGTGAAAATGGATGTCATAAGACCCTGGATTGCAAACAGGGTGACTGAGCTTCTCGGTTTTGAAGATGAAGTTCTCATCAATTTCATATATGGGCTACTTGATGGAAAGGTTTACCCTCTTTACCTGATTTTTATACCAAGAGATGGCCTTGTGTTCGTTTGTCTGACTGCCTTACGTACTTATGTTTATTGGCATTCTGTAATTTATCTCATTATCCTCCTATTGTTTTCTATTATGCTTTTGGTTTTACTATTGTTATTATTTATCTTATTTCTGTTGGGTTCATCCTAGGATGTAGATGGGAAACAAATACAAATCCAGCTTACTGGGTTTATGGAGAAGAATACAGGGAAATTCATGAAGGAGCTGTGGAATCTGCTTCTCAGCGCACAGAAAAATATTAGTGGGGTGCCTCAACAGTTTCTGGATGCCAAGGAAGAGGAAACAAAGCAAAAGAAGGTCATTTTTTTTATGATTAAATGAAATTGTCATTTTTGATCTAGTATCTCCTTGTCATACATCACATTTTGTAGGTTTTCTTAATATCATGTTAATGTTTAACTTGTTCGTCTTCAAGAGTTAATTTTACTTTGACGATTTATTTAAGCCTTTTCTTTGAATGCGGGTTGGCTTTGAGGTATATTTCTTTTGTTTATGTTGGTTTCCTTATCCAGTTAATTTTGAACAGATATGTTTATCGCTGAAATTCGGAACAAAGGAGAAGAATCTAAACCCCTTCAAAGTTTCTAGCAAAATTTATAAAACAAAGTATCTTGGAATGATTTTGCATCATTGATACCCTGTTTTTCTATTCTTCTCAATATCATACTGACATTTTTGAGCTTTGATTTTCTCTAAACTTGTTGTTTTTTATTTAATAAAAGCATTCTTGTTATTCTAAATCAATAACATTTGGTGTTTGTTTTGTGATTGGAACAGGCAGAAGCAGATCGCATCAGTCATGAAATTAAGAAGAAGAAGGATAGAGAGGAAGCAGAATCTGAGAAAGAACGGTGGAAGAAGCTGGTGAATAATCTGTTTGTTTGAGATGTTACTGTTTATTTCACGCCTTCTGGTCGATAATGTCTGCAATTTATTTGAAATTCTTGTATGATAAAAAAATGAGAATAAAGTAGTCTTCTAGACCAATTTTCTTTGCATGTTGTGTATTTGATTTTGACTTACTTTATTTGTTATGACATTCAGCCTTCTGCCATTATTTGGGTTCATGTCCTTGTTTACCTCAACTACTGTAGGATGCTGACAATGGGATTCTGGAAACTGTGGGTGCCACTGCTAATGACATTTCAAAGAAATCTTCCCCAAAGGCTTTAGAAAGGGATTTGGTTGGAAGACAGAGAGAAAAGAACAGGTTAGATATTTCATCTCGTCCACATTTTGTTTTAGTCACAATTAATCGTGTATCTAAAATAATTCTTGGAAGCTAGCTTGTTTGATGGTATCATCCGTTTGTCTTCTATTTCTACTGATTTTGGTTTATTATCAACCTATATAGCGTTGACACCAGTTCTCATATAAAATGCAGTGTATAATGCCTGAGTTACACCATTGATCATGGCTATCCTTAGCACCAGAATGTTGGGTTATAAAAAGAACTGTACAAAATTGTGGAATATGAAACAAATTTAATTGAAAAAATTCCTCGTGTAGGCGAATTATACAAAAAGGTTTTTACTTGCATCAAGGGTGGTTGATGACAAGGGAGAGAATAAGGGCCCTGTGTTTGGCCATGCTGTCCGCGGGGTTGTTGGGAAGTGAGGAAGAAATTAAGAAAAATAGGGAAAGTGCGAAAGAAGTTTGGGAAAACACTCAAAACAGGGAGAGTGAACATTTAATGAAAGAAAGAAAGGGAGAAAGGGGTTGAGTGAGATAGAAAGCAAATACAGAATAGAGAGTTTTATGGGGAAAGGAAGGAAAATAAAAACAAGTAAGGGAGAATAAAAAGAGTTAAAGTAAGAAACCATCAGAACTATTTTGGGCACGGAAGCACTGGGACGCTGCCTTCAAGTAGTGCTTGTGGCACCACTTTCAGCAGCCCCTTCTGCAGCCAAGGCATCTGCCGCGGCATTTTCTTCCAGCTGGGAATGACGGAAGGTGACTCAAAATATATTGGAGACTCCACGGGTGGTGATTTCTCCTAATGGTTCAGCCTGTGACATTCCTAGAGCCCCCCCCCTCCACTAAAAGATTTTCACCCAATCTTGATTGAATCTTTCAAGCCTTCTAGAAGAGCATTTTCCTTGGCCAAGTGATTCCACCATTCCAAAGGTGTCCCTGGAAGGAGGATAGAACATTTCCTTGTGAGTCACGGAAAATGCCCCCAAGCCACAAGGGCCAAGGTTATTAAGAGAGCACCCATCTATGTTTAGTTCGATTGTTCATTGACTTGGAGGGATCCAACTAGTAGATCAGTGAGGTTTGCGTACTCCCATAGAATCTTTTAATTATTTTTTAGGGCTTGATTTCTATTATTTAACAGTGCCTATGAAATTCCTTCCAATATGGACACACATTCTAAATTGAACTCGATGGTCATCCTCTCTTAATAAAAAAAAATAACGGGGTTCTCCTTCGCCATAAAATTAAAAAAAATTACAAATTTTCTTGAAAAGAGAATGCTATTATTGCTGAATTTGAAGTGTATTTTTTTCTTGAGGCGTTTATTAAATCCAGGGGATAAACATTAAATGCAAAACAAAATTAATTACAAATCTCATTTAAATATAATTTACATTTTGGTAGTGATAAGGGCATTTTTGACCAAGAAGAAGATAATAAAGGAGGAGAAGATAATCTTCTTTCCCCCTACTAACTAACTCGTAATTTTAAATGTAAATTAAAATTACATTTAAGTTATCTTCTTCTTGGTTTAGAGAGAAGATAATCTTCTTTCACCTTACTAACTAACTTGTAATTTTATTACATTTAAATTATCTTCTTCTTGGTTTGGAGATTATTATCTTCTTCTTGGTCAATAACACTCTTATCACTACCAAAATGTAAATTATATTTTAAATAGGATTTGTAATTAATTTTGTTTTGCATTTAATGTTTATCCCTTGGATTTCAAAAAATGTTCCAAAAACAAATACGCTTCAAATTCAGCAATAATAGCTGAATTTAGAAAGTGTTTCCAAGAAGAATTTTCTCTTTACAAGAAATATTTTAATTTTTTTTAGTTTTATGGCAAAGGAGAATTCTATTATTTTTTTCATTGGGAGCGGATGACCATTAAGTTCTATTTAGAAAGTGTTTTCATGTTGGAAGGAATTTCATACGCACCGTTAAATAATAGGAATCAAGCCTCAAATAATAGTTGAAAGATTTTATGGGAGTACACTAGCCATCTACTTCCTCATGCTTAACTTATTTTATGGATATTATTCAAGACACATGAATAACCATGCTGAGTTACTTAGAGTATTTGAATCGGTTGGTCATGGTCATGTACCAGAATTTTATCTTTTGAAATTATTTGGAAACTTTTAATTTGTCTGGTTTATTTGTTTTAATCTACTAACTCTCAAAGCTAGAAATTTTCTCGAGTAATTGATATTCTCTTGCTGGTACAGCACATTTTTGCGGATTTAGGGGTCATAAGCAATTTAAATTTCTGTTGAAAATTGATTTATTACCTCCAACTCCAATTCATGTGACTTGGATTATTATGTATAAGTTAACATTTGAGAGATGAAAATTATTTTTTCATTAGGTTTATTAGTATTTCAAATATGGATGTCAGAATTGATTTAGTTTGGAGACTCTTCATAGTTCTTTCTGTGGAAGAATTGCTTATCTTTTTCCTTCTGATGCGTAAAAATCTTTGTGCAAAAGAAAAATGTGCTTAAATTATGTATTTTATGACACTTTTTTACTTTCATCATTTGTCATATGCTTATTTAATTTTGATTTATCTGATGTCATCATACATTTGCATATGAACTGACTTGATTCTCTACATATACATTTTGGTACTAGAAAGCAAATTCTAATAAATTTTCTTTCAGCATGTAGGGCTTTTTCATCATTGATATTTTAAGCATTTGCTTTTTGCCACTGGTGTTTGAGGTAAAAGTTGGATTAGTACTGATCAGTTCCTTGTTGATGAGCCTGTTTGTATGGGTATATCAATAAATAAAATTTCCTTGCAGAAGCAAAATATTGGATGGCTAACCTATTAAAATAATGCTGGTGAATGTTTCTTTGCTGCTTTGCAGGGCATCTGAATCTCCACCTGATGGTCATTCCCCTTCTTCGCATCGGTACGTGTAATATGCAGCTTGATATAATCTTTACTGTACATAATTTTTGAGGACAACTTTGCAAAATTTGCATCTGACATCTTGTTGTTGTATTAAAATTTTCAGAAGCACTCCAGTGCGTCGATCAAGGAGTAAGTCATTACGTGATTCCAGGAGTCGTTCAAGGTATTTACCATTTTCAGGGTAACTAATTTTGCAATTTGCTCTGGCACCTTGCTTTGTTTTTTGTATTCCAATATCTTGCATCAGGTTGTAGGGCAATTTTCTTCTGTCTTTTTACCGTGATACTAACATACATATAAATTATTGAGTTATGGAGTAACTTTCTTCATCAAAATGGGTTATTTGTTACATGGAGCAAGTTAGAGAGGCATAAAATCTCTGAACCATATCTTTTTTTTGCCTGATATTATTTTCTTGCATTAAACTGAACTAAAAATTTGGACCTAGCATTTTTTTTCTAGTGACACCATGATTAAATACTAAGTGGTTATTGTACATTTTGGTTTTCATTGTATTGGTTGAGTAGTTTAGGCTTTATAATTTTATTTTGTCACTCGGCATGTTCCTGTAAAATGATTGATATGCTGATGGTGGGATTGTCTTAATACTGCTTTTTGTAAAAGTCACGCCAAACTTAAATTTATTCTAGCTTGTATGGCTTTCTTAACCTCCATTGCATTGCACTTTACTAGTTAGTAGCTCTCTGATTGATCTAGCATCTACTAGCATTGGTAAAAAGTTTGTTTCTTTTTTTTTTTTTTTTACTTTTATCATTGCAAAATATTTTTCATAAATATGTCATTTTCCTTTACAAGCTTTCACAATTGTGTGCTATTTGATTTCCTCAAGATCTCGCAGTTCCGGTGAAAGGCCTCAATCAAGGAGCATGTCAAGATCACCTCCACCTCGTAGGCGCTCCATCTCTATAGGAAGGCGCTCTCGTTCTCCATTATATCCCCCTCGTCGCAGGCGTTCGCCTCGCTACCTTAGATCTCCACCTAGGCGGAGATCACCTCGTCCTAGAAGGAGGTCACTATCTCCCCCAAGGCGAAGGTCCCCATCTCCAAGGCGCTATAGGTCCCCTTCCCCTATGAGGAGGAGGTCTCCTTCTCCTATTAGAAGGAGGTCTCCTTCTCCTCCTTTCCGTCGAAGATCACCTTCTCCTCCTTTGCGACGAAGGTCCCCAACTCCTATTAGACGGAGGTCCCCATTCCGTAGGTCTCCATCTCCCATAAGGAGGAGGTCACCCCCATCACAATCACCAAGGCACCGTAGACGATCACCTGTGCGGTCCCCTAGAAGGCGGCCTATGGATTCTCGTCTTACCCCTCGTTCAAGAAATAGGTATGGCTACATTTACTCTTAAAGCTTAAAAGGAAAATTGACTAGGGTTATATATGTATGTATGTGTATAGATATGTATGTTGCAAATTACCTGCTAGGTCATGCAGTTCCTCCATAAACTTGAAATATCAGAACAGTTTTCTAACCTGTTCTGCTGTTCATGGTATGAAGTGACTTACTTCCAATATTGGGCTTAAAAATTTTCATCGAGTTGTAAAATGGGTGTTAAGATAATGATTTAGGAAAACTAATGGGTTCAAGTATTCTCCTGGTACTGAAAGTTTTTGAACCACCTGCATCATCTAAGCTGCTATCTGTAACTTCCCAAAAATGATATGGGTATATAATGTACAGGACAGTCAAGTTCTTCTTGTTATATACATGGATATGCTACTTATCCTTCCATTTGTCTTGGATGATTTGCCTTCAGGAGTTCCAGTCCATATAGAAATCGTCGAAGCTTGAGTAGGGAACGATTAAACCGTATGAATGGTGGGGAATCCAGAAGATACCGAGATGAATATGCCGCTCGAAGGTTGTTATTTTATCTATTATTATTATTTTTTGTATGTTATGTTTTGTCCTTATAATAAGCTCTCTGCCTTCTTTATTGTTATTTCTTTCTTTGTTTTCCTTTCTCTTAGTTTGTTGTGATTTTGTATAGAACACATATGAGAAGGTCCCCTGATCAGTCCTCTCCCAGTACGGAGGAGGTCGATGAACAGACTAGGGGAATGCGCAAGGTTCCTGAGTCTTATTCGCGCCCTCCACAAACTTCTTTAAGGTCTCCACAGCGTGATGATAGGACTCAGAGTGATACTAGTTATAAAATCCCTGCTTTATCATCACCACCAGAACAATCACCCGGCCAATCAGAGTCTCCAGAGCAAAGAACACATCTTGACAAAGGCAGGAGGTGAGAATCATAGTAGTATCTGTTGTAGTTAATTTTTGTTAATTTGTTGGAATGTTGCAGTCCATAATTGGAAATTTGACTCGTAAGTTCATTAATGCATTCTTGGTTTTTTTTTTTTTTTCTGAAAGGGCATTTAACGCTTATTTGTACTTTTTTTATAGGAAGTCCAGCCCTTATGACAGCCCCAAGAGATCCATTAGAGAAAGAGCAAACAGTCATGTGAGTCCAGATATGAGCAATGAGGAAGATGACATCAACTATTCGAGGTTAGATTTGATAATCAGTTGTTGCTTTTTAACTTGAACCCTTGCCACTGGCCCTATGTGTAATTAATTGATAAGTTAAACATAAGTGGTTATTGATTACTAATTGATACTTAATGACTTGCAGAGAGCTACACAGTCACGGAGCAGATCCTTCTAGAAAGAGAAATATACATTCACTTACAGTGTCAGCGCGAAATGAACACCCTCGAAGAGCCTTAGCAAAGAGTGAGTCTTCTCCTGTGAATGTAGCAGATCAGAGATCCTCTGAACATCAGGGTCAGTCTGACAACTTTGAGCCAAGAAAGAAAGAGCACCGCAGCCTGGGGAGGTAATCTCTTATTTATTTGTGTGTATTTTGCGTTCAGTATTCATTTAGTTTCTTACTTCGACATGCATGGGTTGCAGTGTTAAATCTGATGGGAGGGCTAATTTACCTGAAAGGCACACTCAACCCTCGTTCCATGCATCAGAAGAAATAGAGTATGGACCTGGACGTCTTGATAGCTTGTCTTTGGATAATCTCCGGAATAAGCAATCATCTGCTAAGAGGCATGTTAGGGATACTTCTTCTCCGGATGAAAGAGATAATGCAGAGCGTTTATCCATGAAGAAGTCATATTCTAGAGAAAGTTATGGAGAGGATGAGAACCTAATTCTCCAGGAAACTAATGTGAACAAGATTTCTTCTCCATTCAATGCTGAAACAGCCAAGAGACCCATGAAAAGATTGGATCAAAATGACCAGTGCGAGACATATAATTCCGATGAGGAATATGAGAAAAAAAGATCAGAGAAAAGAAAGCAGAAGAGAGAAGAGAGCAAGGAGGCATCCTTGCAGAATGATACAGGCTCTGCATCTCCAATAGATGAGAGAAAAGAGGCAAAAAGAAGAAAAAAGGAGGAAAGGAAATTGAGAAAGGAAGAAAGGCGACGAAGGCGCGAAGAGAGGCACCGTAGAAAGGAAGAGAGGCACGCGAGCAAGCGGAAAGCCAAATCTGTTGCTACTGTTATGCCGCCTTCAGAATCTGAGCGATATCGGGGACGTGCAGATGAATCTGATGGTGGTGTTGATATAAGGAGGCAAACAAATCCAAGTGACAGTGAAGAAGAATCTGAGCAGAAAAGGCTCGAAATTGAGTTGCGAGAGAAGGCCCTTGAATCACTTCGAGCAAAGAAGGCTATCAGTCACTGAATTTATTAATGCTTGCTAGTTTGGCATCTGTGTCTGTTTTCAGTTTCTTTCTTTCTGTTTTTTGGTAGAACTGTATCACTTGCTTTAACTTTGCACTTTCTATATAAGAATTTTCTGTTCCGAGAATTGTGGTAAACAACATGTTTAATCACTTAATGAGGTCCTCTGCCTCAGCATTATCCATTTGATACAACTTTGTTCTTTACTTCTGGCAGTTGAAATGGATAAATGAGGGCTTCCTCAGTCAATGCCATGGTGTGAACAATGTGCAGGTGTTGCTTCTAGTGCTCGCTATGAAATGGTTCTGGTAATCTCTGCTTTCTCTATCAGGAAATTGATTTTGTGGTCCTGGAAGAATGTCGTGGTCCTCTTGGAAGTTGTTTTCTTGCTGTCTTAGTATTAAAATTTGAGCATCCTGCTGCCCTGGTTTCTGACTTATGGAAGGGCAGGGATGCTTGTATTGTGAATTGGATATAATCATGCTTAGCATTGTGATACATGCACAATGTGCAAGGTGTAGGTAGAAAGCATTATGGACTTTATGAGGGCTACAAACTCAAATATGCTTGCTAACATAACAAAAGGTCTAGGTGGTACTGGCTAATTTGAGATAGACACTAAATGAGGCTTGTGGTTGATTGATAGATCAGAAAACTGTCAACTAGGTGACTTGGCTGAGCAGTTCTTGTGAAAGAGCCACTTTTTGAACCTCTAATCAGGTGAAATATTTTACATAGATGCTTTGTAGGTTTTAGTGGAGGGTAGACTTTGTGGACGCGTTTAACCTGTCAATAATGTAATTCTTTGCTAGTTTTCAATTGTATTCTGTTTTGACTTATTACATGGTTTGCAACATTTGACAGCTGTTCCGGCCTCTGGGGGCTTAGTTTTATTATGCATCTGCTATGTTCATATTGATCTCAGATGATAATCATCCCTGCAGAGGTCTCAATCACGTATGTATATGGTACTGAATTATAATGAGTACTGGTTCTTTTTGTTGTTCTTTATATTGTGTTGAAGTATGAATGTGTTTGTTGATGGAATTTTCTTACATGTGTATTTTTTTGGTGTCTCGTTTTATGGTTTCATGATGCATGCCAATATTTGAAACTAATGCTGAATGTTGTTTACATATGCTAGAAGCATTTGATGGATGCATCCTTTTCTTATTGTACATGTAGCTCCTTAGGCTATAGATATGCATCTATATCTATATATATATGTGCATATTTTATTCAAGAAGGGTGAGGACTTTAATCTTTCCCTCAACCCTTCCCAAGCTCGGGTAAAGGAGGTGGGTTGTGCTAGGTAGGTAGCTAATGTAAACTTTTTATGAATCCTAAATCTACATTATCTGCTTATTTTAGAGCGTTCCCCGTAAGTGACGTGCTGTATTGGAACCCGGGTATAGTTAGAAATAAGCAAGGATTAGCTAGGGCCTTCCCCAAAAGCGATGTGCAGTAGCATCACCCGGTTGTGGCAAAAAATAGGCAAGGGTTCCCACGACATTCTGGACAAGCATAGGTAAAGGAGCTAGTCCAAGTAAATAGGATTCTTTTAGCCATATGGAATGTAGGAGCACTTATAGGTAAGTATGGAGTTAGTGGATACAATGAGATGAAAGAGAGTAAACATAGATTGTCTATTACAATTCTACAAAAAAAAATAGCTTGTCTACAGGAAACTAAGTTGAAAGGGGAAAAAAAATTAAGGAAATAGATGTTTATAAACTTTAGTATACAATAATAGAAATGATGTAGGCATATTAGTAGACAAAGATTTAAAATATAAAGTAGTTTATGTCAATAGTGTAGGTGATAAACTACTATTAATTAAACTTGTATTAGGGGAAGAGACAATTAAAGTAATTAGTGCTTATGCACCGCAAGTAGAACGAGAGGATAGAATTAGGAGACAGCTTTGGGAGGACATGGATGGAGTGATGGACTAGTCCAAGATATTCCAAATGGAGAGAGGACCTTTTTAGGAGGGGACTTAAATAGTCATGTAGGAAAGGATATTAGAGGATATAAAGGGGTACATGGGGGATATGGGTTTGGTGAAAGAAATGAGAGGGGTGAGGCTATTCTAGATTTTGCTATGGCCTATGATTTAGCAATAGCAAACACTTATTGTATAAAGTGAGATGGACATTTAATAACCTATAAAAGTGGATCATATAAAAGATAGATAGATGTCTTCCTAGTTAAGACGGTGGATTGACTATCCTGCAAAGACTTTAAGGTTATTCCAGGAGAGCGTTTGACTACACAACATAGACTCGTAGTTATGAACGTTTGCATGAAGAGATGGAAAAGAAGGGATGAAATTAATAGGGGTTCAAGAATTAGGTAGTGGAATTTAAAAAATGATAAAATAGACTTATTTAGGGATAAATTAGTTAAAGACAGAAAATAAAATTCTGAACATGAGGTCAATGCTATATATGGAATGTGATGGCTTACTGTATTAAAAAAGTGTAAAGAAATTTTAGGAGAATTGGAGGGAAAAGAAATTTCGATAAGGAAACTTGGTGGTGGGGTGATGAGGCTTAGAAGGTCATTCGTGAAAAACGATCATATTATAAAACTTGGCAATGGAATATAAATGATCAAAACTTAGAAGAATATAAAAATGCTAAGAAATTGATAAACAAAGAATTCTTTTGATTACCCATCTTTTTTTCCTTTTGAAACCTTTAGAAATAGAAACCTTTTTGTTCTTTCTGATAAAACTCTTACAAATAAATTATAAAAGCCATTTCTTTTTTCCTTTTATAATTTTTTTTTGAGTTCTTTATGAATAGGCTAAAAAAAGGAAAGTTGTTTTCGGGGAGAACGAAAGGGTAGGTCAGTTTCCATTCCCCATATTGTTAAAAAACAAAAATTTGTTTTTTTATTTTTTTCATTAGATGATCTATATGATGGGATCGTAGTTTAGATTTGCGCCAAGGTTTCAGATAGAAAGGAAATAGAATCTTTATTTGAATAGTCTTTTAATCAATTCTTTAGAAATTTTCGTTCTGATAATTGAACACCATTATAGGTGCATTTAATATGGATTTCACTACCCCATTCCTTGAAATCTTCATTCCACTCGAGGAGTTGAAATAATAACATACGCATAAGATTCTCAGTCGTTTCAATGGGATCTTTCGTCCTGGTCAGAGGAGAACTTACCAAACGTCTAACATTCCCTCACGCTTGGAGCCAATGAGTTTTTATTTGTATTATTTATATTTAGTAGAAAAATAAGACTATGGTTTTGCCATATGAAATATGAATCAAATAAAAAAACAACAATAAAAAACCAGTCGTCAAGCTAGGCAAAACGTTAATCGTAGAACAGGGCTATGTGTAGTTAGGCCGTGTCTTAGTTGCTTTATCAAGAAAGTCCACGGACTTGGCATCACTCCTCTATTGTGCTCCTGCTTTCCTAGCCTTATGGACATGAGGCAGCACCTCTCGCCTAGTTCTTCTATTCTTCTACCAATAGTAAGTAAGGCTAAACTTAAGGCATATGATAATCTATACAGTAAACTGGGAAGGTGAAATGATGTCTTCAAATTAGCAAAAATGAGAGAGAAAAAGTGTAGGGATCTAGACCATGTTAAATACATTACGAGTGAGGATCAAAAGGTCTTGGTGAAGGATGAAGAATTTGGTGGGTATTGGAAAATAAAGGAGTTTTCAGATACTATATCGACTTGGTTAAAGATATATACGAATGAGTGATAACTAGTATGTGAACAACTAGTGGAGAGACTAGTGAGTTTTCAGTAAGTATAGGTTTATATCAGGTGTCAGCATTGGCCCATACCTATTGTCTTAGTTATGGACGGCTTAACTAAGTACCCAAAAGATGAGATACTGCGGTGTATGTTGGTCGTGGACAACATAGTTTTGATGGACCCAAAGCAGCACCAACACAAAGTTAGAATTTAGGATGGATGCTCTAGAATCTAAAGGTTTTAAAATTAGCCACTAAGACCAAGTATATGGAATCCAAGTGTAGTAATACTAAGAGTAGAGACGAGCAAGTAGTTAAGATTGATGGTCAAGAAATACCAAAAAGAGCGCATTGTCGATATCTTAGGTCGATAATCTGGGAAAATTGAGAGATTAAGGAAGATGTTGCACATAAAATTAGAGTTGGGTGGATGAAGTGGAGATGTGCAACTGGAGTTTTATGTGATCGCTACATGCCAATGAAGCTGAAGTGGAAGATCTATAGGACAGATGTGAGACCCGGTACATTATGGGGCAGAATGTTGCGCTGTCAAGAAACAACAGACCCATAGGATGAGTGTAGTTGCGATGAGGATGTTGAGATGGATAAGTGGCAAAACAAAAAGGAGACCCATAGGATGAGTGTAGTTGCGATGAGGATGTTGAGATGGATAAGTAGCAAAACAAAAAGGGCTAGAATTCAAAATGAATACATTCGGGAGAACTTAGGTGTGGCATCAATAAGCGAGAAGATGAGAGAACGTAGACTTAGGTGGGCTGGACGTGTGTAGCGCTGACCCATTACAACATCTGTTAGGAGGTCTGAGTTGGTTTAAATAGAAGCTCAAAAAGGGCAAGGTGTAGGCCCAAAAGAACATGGTTGGAAGTAGTGAGAAACGATATGGTGGCTTATGACCATACTGAGGGTATGGACTTTGATAGAGCAACATGAGGGACCAGGATCGTGTAGTTGACCCCAAATAGTTGGAAAAATTATGTGAGTATGTTGATGATGATGATACATATTTTCCTCAAGTTCAATTATCCATAAAAAGAATTACGCTATCATTCCCATGTGGAAACTATGGTATTGGGGTTACAAGATTTTGAAATATTTTGGATGCTAGTAACTGGGAGACTAAGAGCTGCATGAAATAATAAAATGGATAACATGTAGTTGTGGTGCTTTGATGGGTTTGGGAGCAATTTTAGTAGTTATCCTTGCCGAAGAAGTTAATGTTGGTATTGATGATCTGGCTATGCATGCAAATGGAATTAAATAAAATCATGTTCGCTTTTTTATATGATTGGACCTCATCTGAAAGGTCCAATCAAGGTTTCAAAAAACGCTAGGCGGCCTGCCTGGCGCCTAGCACCTAGGCGGGCAGCCAGAACCTAGGCGGGCGCCCAGAACCTCGGGCGCCCCGTAGTTTAAAACAAACGAGAAACACCTAGCCCACCTAGGCGCCCGCCTCGCCTGCCTGGGCGCCCGCCAAGGTACATCTGCTCGTGTAGGGCCGCCTAGGTCAAGGTGGGCGGATTTTTGGTCCAAGTTGCCTAGGTGCCAGGGGACCGTTTTTTTAAAACATTGGGTCCAATGGATTTGTTGCTCGGGCTATTCTTGAAGAGGCTACAACAAAAAGGTGCGTAAAAACAAACTACCAGACAATAGATGTAAGAAACATGACAAGGTTCTTGTATCTCTATATAAAGCAAATGATTTAATATGTATCATAAAATATAGAAAATGATGGGTATATCTCCCCATACTAATTGTTTTGGAACAACTTACCAGGGGTGGTTGATTTTGTCTAGGTGCTAACATTTAATGAGTTTGAGCCGTTTTTGGAGAAATGAGCGCAAATGTTTGAGGAGTTATTAAAAACTTGAAGGTCATTGATAAAAAATTTGTAGATATTGTTAGATAAAATTTTTGTATTGGTGATTTGCCATGAAGATCGAACTTTAATAAATTTTTGATTAGTAATCCCATTGACACTATGGTATCATTAACCTTTGATGTGCTTACCTAGGTAAAACGTGGAATTGAACTTCTTGAATTATTCTATATAATAAGCCTACGACCATGTAGACTAGAAAAACTTACACCAAACTCTTAGAAGGATGGGGTAGAACCACTGATGGAGGTCATGGGTCAGTGGTGCATCCCTAGCCCCGTCTTTTCCATCCTCATTAACGGCTCCCCAAAAGGCTTTTACCCCTCA